ATCGGACAACACTATGAATAATAAAAAGTCCTTATCGGACCATGCATTTGTACGATCGCAGTTTTTAACCAAATTTTGAGATACAATCAACTACATCATGAATCTAGTATACTACCGGTAGTTATAAACATATTCACCAATTTCATTGTAAAACGTATCTTATATGCTTGTATTTGAAGATGAATCACACACAACAATGACTTCAAATAATGCACATCATCATCTTCTTTTCTTTAGCAGGTTCATATAGGAAACACACAACAACTTTCTTTCTTTCCCGAAATAGCAAGATGAATAGGATGAGTTTAAACCATCCTTTATATACTTTCCATAAAAGGGCGGTAGAATTTTAAATATTTAAAAATAAACTCTCACACACTTAAACATATATATATATATATATATATGATCAAAGTATCACATAAGCATAATCACACACACATACAATCTTTTTAAATTAATTTACATACCAAGACTTTCAAAACCGCTCTAAATTATATAACCTGAATCCGGTTATCACAATTTTTTTATTTTAAATTGGGAATGTTTTATGTCAGATTATTGCTATTTTAGTATATAATCATATTTTACCTTTTTCACAATATAAAACCAAAATCCTATAATTTACAGTTTTCATGATGAATGATACACCATTCAAGTTGAATATTCTAACACTCATAAATTCCTTGTATGGCAATTATGGGATTCGACCAATTTAGCATTGGTATGAAGTTCTTAATGGGCCTCGATACTATGCAATTATGGGTGCAACTTGGTTGGTCACCTAGGGTTGCTACCAAGGTCGCGTACACGGGGTGGTTCAGGAGGAAGGGCACCGACGACCTGGCTTGAGACCTAGGTTGCGGGAACCCTTCTGGGTAATTTTTAAACCCGATTTTCTAGGCATTCTTCCTATTTTACCATTGTCCATTTTTCTCTCTACCTACTGGCAATTTTTGGGAGCTTTGGTATCAAATTTAGAGCATATTGGTAAGGATTTATCTTAAGGACTGTAACAATTTTGTATTTGGAAACTTGGTTTGGAGATTTGGAAGGACTCCATGATAGAGGTTTGGATGCAAGATCTCAAGTTCTTGAAGTGGTAACTTCCTTGAATATTTTAAAATCTAGTAGGAGCTTCTTGTGGATTTGAGCTTATGCTTATATTTGGTACTTTTCAAGACTTGGCTTGTTGTCTCGAGAATTTTTTTTGGAGGCATTTGCTTGTGGATTTCAAACCTTCACCAATGGAAGCTAAAGTTTAGGGGTTGGAAACTAGGTTTAACCTAACCTAGCAATGTGAATTTTAAGTTGCTTTTTGAAAACTATGTACATGCCAAAAATGTCCATATTGGAGTTTTAAAGTGTTTTCCTTGAGTTTTATCAAATGTTGTTGATTACTTGATGAAATTATATATTTTACACTTTTGATTTTATAACATCTTGAGAAATGCTTATATTTGGGTGTTTTGGACATTTTGATAGATAACTCATATTGGTGTAATCTTTTAACAGTTTTGTTGCATATAGTGGAGATAATTTGACGTTAATGTACTTTTAGTTTATTGGATTTTATAAATCATTTAGAAAATGCATATTATTGGGGTATGTGATGTTTTGGAAGTATAAATTGTATGATTTTTATTTAAAGATGATTTATCCCAACCAATAATAAGTTTTTGAATTAATCATACTTTTGGGGCATGAGTTTGAATAAATATTGAGCAAATGGATCTATTAAATTATGTTGACTTTATTTGAATAGTCAGGTAAGTTGTAAAAGTTTATTGATTTGATATTGATTTACATGAGTTTTGGGACTTTGCCCAACTTAAATTACTCAATGTCGATATTTGGATATGTTTTGCGTAATTCATATTTATTGAGAATTATATTTCTTGAGTGTGTTGGTCATTCAATTGGAGTCATGCTATTTAGACTGTAATGCATTGGATCCATAGGCATATGAGTCAACCATGTTTGATAAGTGAGGAGCTTTGATGTCCTTACTTTGTGGCCAGTGCTTGTGTAGGCACTATGGCTGCCTTGGTATTGCAAATGACTATTCTTATGAGTTGGAATCGAGGACTATGGGTATTGTGGAAGTGATCTCTTGATGAATCAGACTCTGAGATCTTGTATATTATGGTGATGAACTCGTGAGGAGTCAAGCACCGAGACCATTGTTTTGAGGCTTTGGCCTTGCAGAGTTGACACTAAGTCATCGGGGGTATTGTAGAGATGAACTCATATGGAGTCGGGCCCCAAGATCATTGACTTTAAAGGTGAAACTTTACTTGTGGGTGAGTAGGTACTGGGATTAGGGGTATTACGATGGTCAACTAGTGTACGTTCAGACTTCGGGACCATAGATTTGTGGTGGAAACTCGAGAGAAGTTAGACATTGGACCTTGATCTTGAGGTGCTACTTGATAACGTTGATGTATGACTTACTTTGTGTTTCACCACGATCGATGAAAATGGGTCTCCCCCCATCACCGGAAGGTGTTGTGTTAGTTATCAAGTTTATCCATGTTTTCAGTATTAGAATATTAAATTTTATTCATGTTTTGGGTGAGTATTAAGCTTTGATTTCATACTAAAATGGGTGTGTTGGTTTATTGAGTTTTCATCACGAAAATGGTGGGTTTTGAGAAAGATGCTGCTTTTATGGTAAATGTTTTTCATTTGAGAGATTGTGATTTAAGTAGCACTTTTTAGTTTTACCGTTTTATATTTGAGATGACAAATGCTTGAAGCATTAAGCCTAACACTTTTTATTGGCAGCATGTGCATCGGGTCCTTGTCGGGGTATGGTACTAGCGACACTTGTGAAATGTTGAGAGTTAATTAGAGGCCCAAGATTGATTTAGTTATTTGGGACATCTTATGTACCTTGAAGATAGCAACTTGTGTATCAGTTTACTAGTAACTATTCCCAACCTACTTCTCGTATAAGGATCAAATTTGGAGTTGTAGACTTTTAATTCGGTTTTGCCTTCTATATAACTCAAAAATCCTCTATGTGATTGAATTTGGAGTAATATTTAGTGTTCAACATAAGTTATAAATTAGTTGCTCTTTTTCAAATTTCGAGGTGCCACAAATATCTCGTGAATATCTGGGATACGTGGTACACACTCATTTCCCCTAGTTCACAACGGAAATTAAGTTTGCAACTAAAACTGCCCATATATATACATACATACATAAAAGAAGAATGAAACGAGAAGTTGACCAATTTACGAGAAGGCGAGAAGTTCTATGATCATATATGATTACACATGATATGCACTCATAATCATTTATGATTAAACACATTGAAGAGGGACGCAAATGGGTTTGGTGAATGCGACCAAGGTCGTGTTGGAAGGTCTCTTGCTATGTACCTACAAACATAACATTTTGTTTAATCATATACGATTAAGCGTAAATATCATGTGTAATTATATATGATCTTGGAATTTTTTGCATTTTTGCAAATTATCGTTTGAACCCGACTCTATATAATATGCATATAATAAAAGAACTCCTAAATCATACCCCTTCCCTTACTTGAAACCAACCCCTTCGAGGAACACTTGTCGCCATGTTTCTCCACCAATGACCCCCCCCCCCCCAGTTTTTCCCCTGGTGAACCATTTCCTCCAAACCTGGATTTAGGGGTTTTGGCCTACCAAACTTTAATCTTATCTCCGTTAATTTGTAAAAGGAGGATGATTTCACAATATTCTCATGTGAAGGAATCCTAGTATTAGGAGTTGCAAGCATGTGTTCTTTGTTATGGGGGAAGGGAGAGGGATGTTTTGGGTTGAAGGAATCAAAGAAGGGTGAAGGGGACCGGTTTTGGAACTGGAGTTTCAGATGCAGACCTAGAAAAAGAGCATTAGTAAAATGGAGAAGGAGGATATGGTAGGAGTTGCAAGTCTATGTTCTTCGTTCTAGGGAGGAGAAGGGGGAGGGGACTGTTTTTGACTGGAGTTGTAGATGCAGACCTAGAAAGAAAGTGCTAGAAAAATCGGGAAAGAGTTGTAGCTGTCAGGTTCCCTGCCCAACTACAACCAACCCCCTTATTCTTCCTCCACCACCATATCCCTTTATCTATTGCAACCATCATATCCCCTTCTTCCCTTTGTTGCATTGAGGTTGATTTTTGGTGATTTAGATTTTAATTTGATTTGATATGAGTAGAGCATTGGTGATTAGGTTCAATATTTGGGTTGACTTGGTGTTGGGGAAGTGTGGTGGTCGGGAAAGATGACCGGGAGTAGGGGAACATTTTTTGGCCGTGCGTATATTGAAATCGTCTAAGAGTTAGAAACTATAAAAACCAGTTTCATATATGAAACAACATATATGAAAAGTTACTTCGGTCATGTTCTGTTTTTGTGTGAGTATTAACTGTGTTTCATGTATAAACATATTTTTGTATTTTTTGCATGTAAAATATTATTTGACATTTCATTTGTAAAACAAAAACGTATAAACAATGCATGTTCATATGTGTTTGAAGCAACACATAAAAATGATTTTCACAGTTTCTAACCTTTAGACGTTTTCTATATATAAATGTATTAACTATATTGTTTTAAATAAAAATGAAACCTCAAAAAGACCGATATAAATTTAACTAAACAGAGTTCTATAACAGATGCAAGAACAAATCCGTACTAAAAATGAAACCTCAAAAGCCTTTATCATACCATACATTTAAGGTTAAAAGACGTTTTTCGTAACCAACATGAAACCATAAAGACGAAAGTCATAATTTAAACCAAATACCCAACCAATTTTTTAATTTTTAATTTTTAATTTTAATTTTTAATATTTAATTTTGTCGGTTTAAAAAGATATTTAGAAAAGAAAAAAAAAACATGGTCGTAAAGGGAATTTTGATTTTTAATCTAAGAAAGTTCCCTCCTTTTTCTTTGTTTATTATTTATAATTTCAAGAAAAGTAAACCTTTGCCAGTCTACTGTCTGCATCTTGCAGCAGCACAACAAACCTCATTTCCTCTGCAATCAATCTCTTTCATCTTGTTTACTCTCTCATTCCCCTGCCCACCCTCCATTAATATCCCGCCATGGTTACTCTGATCTTCATACCTTCAAGCTTCTTTGTGTTTTTGTGAGATAAAGAAAGAACGAGATGGGCAGACAGAGGAGAGAGAAATAGAAAAATACCCATCAAGATTCAATCCAATTTTTTTTTTATATAGATTGAGATCTCACTCTCTGTCTCCATTAGGATACAACATATAATACACACAACCCAACTCAGATTTCCTTAAAAGAAATCTCATGTTTTGTTTAAAGTAGACGGAGATAGAACAGTGAGTATGAAATTTTTTCTTACTTTTTCGTTGGTTTTGATTTTGGATTTTGGAATTACATCAATTGATGCCAGACCCACAAGTTTACTTCCTGTTTCTGCAATTTTTGTTCCTGAATCTGCACCTGCTGCTGCTCCCATCCCTTCAATTCCATCATCAATGGCTGACTTCTCTTCAGGTACTTGCTCTGGGTGTGCATGTGTGTATTCACTGGCATCTGTGTTTTCTGGGTATAATTTCTTCAAATTTTAAAGAATTTTTTATGGTTTCTTGTGATACCACTTTGTTAGGGGTTAGCTATCCACAGAAATTCCCAGTGTATTGCTTGTTCTTTAGATTTTTGGTCTGGTATTAGATTATTGAAAAGTTGAAACAACTCCATCTTGAAGCAAATACTTATGTTCTTTAATTTCCCTTGAATCAGGAACTCAAGTGAATATCCCAGAGCACCAAAGGAATTCAAGTAGAAAGCTTCTTATTGGGCTCATCACATCCGCTTCTGTGATGGGAATCCTCATATTGTCCATCATATGTTTGTGGATTTGCCACAGAAAGAAAATTGGCAAATCAGGCAAAAACAATACCAAGAGATTAGGTAAGATGATCCATCTCATCAACAAAATTATGGGTTTTGATCAATTTAGATTACTTGATTGAAAAGATTACATTTCTAAACATTCTAAGCAAAATTTATGGTTATAATTGAAGATTCTTTGAGAGGGCTTCCATTGAGTTCCTTCATTAGCAGAAGTAGTGGCCCTATAAAGACGATTAACGAGAAGGGATCGGTGGTTGTTATGGATTATAGCTTGTTAGAATCATCAACAAACAACTTTGGAGAAAGTGAAATATTAGGTGAGGGTGGATTTGGATGTGTATATAGAGCTCGACTTGATGACAACTTATATGTTGCTGTTAAAAGACTAGATGGTGGTAGTCACGATGCCATCAAAGAATTCCAGGTTACTGTTTAACAATCAATCAAGATTTTATAACCTTTTAAGTAACATATGGTTATTGAAAAATTGTGATTCGGGTTTTTGCAGACGGAGGTGGATCTATTGACTAAAATCCAGCATCCCAACATAATCACCCTGTTGGGATATTGTGTTCATGATGAAACCAAGCTGCTTGTTTACGAATTGATGCATAATGGATCTTTGGAAACTCAGTTACACGGTGTGGTTTCTTTCACTTCAATCTTAACTAATATGTCTTAAAGTTTATACCTTTTAACTATTCGAGCTTAATCAATATGATTAATAAGATGTGATTCTAAATGAACACCCTCCCCTCTACTTGCTATTTGAACCTTTCCTCACACACATATAGCTTGCAACTATGGTAATGAGCGAAGAGGTCGTTTTCAGTTATCAGTCGAGTGCAAATGTCTGTAAAGTAATGATCATAACTAATATGATCAATAAATTTGTAATGACTGTGAAAAGGTAGATAGGTCATCTTTTTTTTCACTCAAATGGCTAAAGTACCCTTTAAAGCCTTGGATCAAAGTCCATATGATTAGATTCAATAATAACTTTGTATGGGTAAGTTGGTAAAAGAACTTGGAATTGTCTAGCCAGTCAAAGACGAAGACTATAGTTACAAAAATAATCAATATGATTAACTATTCACCATGAATAATGGATATAGATTCAAGGGGTTCCGTTCCATATTTCATATAAATAGAAGTATTTTACTATTATTATATGTTAAATTAGACCAAAAAGACGAAATGGACATAAAACCCTAAAACGCCTAATGATAAACCAAAATCGCCCTAAGTCATGTTTTGCTAGTAGGTCACTTTTAGCAATTAATGGTTTGAAATGATAGTAAGTGGACCTTTCATATGTCCCCATTCCATAAATATAACTTCCAAGGTCTCAAAATAAGTGTATGTACACGTTCAAAAGTAAGTGGCTACTTTTCAATGGAGAAGTTTTTTACTCCGTCTGTTGTTAAGGATATACATGTCATTTAGTTAACGAAAAGGTGTAATAATTACTCATTCTAAAACTGTTTGCCTTTCCATTATGAAAATTTATTTTGGGACGGAGGGAGTACGATGTTCAGTGATTAGTTAAAAGTCTAAAATACCCTTCAAATCCTTGGAGCAAATACAATATGATTAATGAAAAGATGGGTGTTTTTGGTGGAAAACTTGCTTAAAATGTTGCAATAAATATATATGATGTGAAAGGGTTTAAATAACAGAATTTAATATGTCAACCTCAATTATGTCCATACAGGGCCTTCCAGTGGATCCAATTTAACATGGCATTGCAGAATGAAGATTGCATTAGATACAGCAAGGTGGGACTTGTTTTAAAGTGGATAATTTAATGAGATGAATTATTTTAATAAATAATAAAAATATTAACATTATTTACAAGTGTTTGGACAGAGGATTAGAATATTTGCATGAGAACTGCAAACCATCTGTCATTCATAGAGATCTCAAATCATCCAACATCCTTTTAGATTCCAGCTTCAATGCTAAGGTACTTGCTATGCATCTCTTCAGTTTTTTTAATACATTTTCACAGGACTTTCTTATCTGTGTCACATCACAATAATGCATCTTTCACCCACCTTGAAACTATGAGGTAGGCTCCTTGAAATCACACTAGAGTGGGCCCTGCAATGCTTCTACTTGGTCCCCAATCCTGAACAACATAGGTCCCACACCTTTTTTTTTTCAACCTAGTGAGACCTAACTGTAGGTCTCACTATGTGTCAGATTTCTAGGTCAGACCCATTTGCAGGATAAGGGAATAGTGTAGGTCCCATACCGTTCGGTTAACAGGGGACTTTGATTTGTGGGTTTAGCCCGATGATACAACAGGAACTTCCTACACCTACTCGGTCCATGAAAATCTACTGAATCTTGGTCCGTTTTGTATCTTTTTCTAAAGCTTTCGGATTTTGGTCTTGCGGTGATGGATGGAGCTCAGAACAAAAACAACATTAAGCTTTCGGGGACTCTGGGTTATGTAGCTCCGGAGTATCTTTTAGATGGTATATAAACATGAATGTTCCTTCTTTTATCATTTAGAAAGCAAAAGGCAATGTTTTTCTTATGTGCTATTTCGAAGTTCAATTGCAAGTACAACTTCTAAAAGCACAACCAACATGCTTAAAAAGGACTCTTGGAAGCATTAGTTATGCTGATTCTCGTTCCGTTTACAGGAAAATTGACAGATAAAAGTGACGTCTACGCATTTGGAGTTGTACTTTTAGAGCTTTTACTCGGAAGGCGGCCTGTGGAAAAGCTAGCAGAATCCCAATGCCAGTCTATCGTCACTTGGGTAAAACTTAATTTTTGATTCTTGATCACATTAATCCTGATCATTGAGTTGTTCATAACCAAAATTGTTAATTTCAGGCTATGCCACAGCTAACAGACAGATCTAAGCTTCCAAATATTGTAGATCCTGTTATCAGATATACAATGGATCTCAAACACTTGTACCAAGTATGTAAACCACAAAGTCCTCTTCTTCCAAATAGTAGTACAATTCATTAGTTTTTGTAAAGATGGACTTAAAGTTCATCCGGGCCATGGACCGAGCCGGGCTTTTAACACAAAACCGGACTTTTTCAGGCATACTCTAACCGGGCCTTGAAAAAAAGTTTGCCTGATCAGGCTTTTTATCTTAGACTGGGTCCATGGTCAGGCCTTCTTATGGATCTTGGCTTGAATTTTTGTTCCCCGGGTTATAAACTAAGGAAATCGGTGATTAAATGCGTAGGTTGCTGCTGTAGCGGTGCTATGTGTACAACCGGAACCGAGCTACCGGCCATTGATAACCGACGTATTGCATTCACTTACCCCTCTGGTTCCGGTGGAGCTTGGAGGGACTTTAAGAGTTGCACAAACCTGGCCTTCAAAGACAACTGAGCCATGATTTGGCCATTTCCCATTTAATTCATCTTCTTAGTGGTTATTTTGTAGGTAATTTGTTTTTAAAGATGAAAAAGGAAAGAAAATGGCAGAATTATGGTTTGTTTAGAAAAGTTAATATTTGTATGTGGTGGAGCATCCGTAAACATGAAAAGGACTCCACATGTAAATTTCTAGTGAAATGAGAGGTTGGGGGTTTATTTGTTTGAGTGATTTTAGTTTTGGGAAATTGATATGATTCAATTATATACATAGTTTGTAATGGTGTGTTATGGCATCGAGGTTTGAGTTCGTCGTCACGTTAACACCTATGGCTCTACTCTGAGGTTTGGTTTCCATTGTAACGACGCTTTATAACGTGTTATTTGTTAAGGTGTGAGAGGGTTTTTTTAATAAATAACTTGTGAAGGATAAAGAATAATTATGTAATGGATCCAAGACTTTGAATAAACATAAAAAGGAAATTTAACAACTAAAAGACTAAATAAGTAAATACTTACTTCATTCCCATTCCCATACATGTAGAGTTGAACATGAATTTTTTGAAAATTGAATAAAGAAGCGAGTTGAGATTGATTCAAAAGACTTAATCCTGACTTTGCACCCTTGATATTAGTTTTTATAAGCTTTATATATTTGGTATTAATGATTCCTCTTTCATTTTTAGTTTCATTACTTTATATGAATTTAATATGTTCTACATTATATATATATATACACTAGTTGTGTACCCGGCAATGCGACGGAGAGCCGTGAATTTTAATGATTTTGAAGTTTCACTGGTTTTATTGGAGAAGATTTAACGATGATATAAATTACATTTGGTCTTTACATATTAATACAATTTGAATAAATAAGAGTTATGGTTCCAATTACAGTTTATCGATGAAAAAAATTATATGACAATTTAAAATCCAATATATTTAAACGACTCCACAAATGTATTCGATTTACACCAAGAGCAAAGAATCAAGAGAGCGAGACTGAAAGTTCTAGAGCAATTAAATGAGAGATGAATAGAGAACTTTTAATAATTCATGGTAAATATCAATTTGAATATCATATTGGGGGATGAGAAAAAGACATAGAGGTATGAGAAGGTAAAGACATGAGTGAAAAATGTCAAAAGTATATTAAGAACATGAAAAGAAAAAGTAATAATGTGCATTGATAACTTGTACTATATGTTATTTTAATGTAGATTAAGAGATTTTAAGACTAAATGCATAAAATAGTAGTACTTAATCCATTATGAGTTGTTTTTAAGACTTTGTGCATAAATGTATAGTACCTTGTGCATTAAAAATTGTTTTTAAAACTTTTGAAAAATATGGTTTATAATATAGTGTGTATATATATATATAGAGAGAGAGAGGTTGGTTGAAATAGAAACCAACCATATGGTACAAACTATGGAAACCGATCTTGACCAATCACATTCTTTCTTCACTTTAGGTTCAAATCTAAATTATAAATTAATGATAAGGGTAATTTGGTAATTCAACCTTTTTGTAACCCCCAATAATTAATTGGGAGTCACAAATCTTAAAAGATACATCTAATTGTTCATGAGATTTTTATGATTTCTTTATTATTTCATGTTCATGGTATTCATTTCAATTGATTTTATACATATATTGAAATTGGTTGTCTAAGTGTACAAGATTTTCATTTCGTTCAAGATACATGGAGAATCATATTGTAAAAGAATGTCAGAATAATGAAGACGATAAATGCTTGCAGTCTATGTTCATATCTGCACACATGCACAACGATCCTTGATTTTGAAAATGTTCATATCTGTGCATCTCTTGCAGTCTATGTTCATATATGTTCACCATATGAACAACTTGTTTTCAT